AGTTCGCAAGCAACACTGGAATTTTAATCAATTTAATTTTTACATCTGATAAAAAATAAACACGTTATTTACCGGCAGCGTCGGTCCGGATGAGAAAAACTGTGCCCTCGGGCTTGAAAACGTCCCTCGCCCTTCGGGCTCGGGCCGTTTTCAAGACCTCGGGCACAGTTTTTCTCATCCGGACCTCGCAGCCGGTAAATAACATATATATATTCTCGCTTTTATCAACTTGCTAGTCTAGTGTATATATATATATATATATATATATATATATATATATATATATATATATATATATATATATATATATATATATATATATATATATATATATATATATATATTCAAAATATATACAATATACAGGTCTGTATAGTCAAAACTGTATATACTGTAGCCTATATTCTCGCTTTTATCAACTTGCTAGTCTGTATATAGTGTATATTGTATATATATAGTGTATATATATATACAAAATATACACAATATACATGTCTATATTGTCAAAACTGTATATAGGCTACTGTATATTCTCGCTTTTATCAACTTGCTAGTCTGTATATAGTGTATATAGTGTATACATATACAAAATATACACAATATACTAGAAGTTATTATCACAAGGAAATTGCTGCCTCACCCCCAAGGGATGGCACCATGCACAATTTGCTGAATTAAAGCCTGTTTTCCACGTGGAGCGGAATCTTTCTTTGCGCGTGGAGCGGAATCTTTCTTTGTCTTTTCTAATTAGTTCAACCCGAGAAATCACAAGACAAAGAAAAATTCCGCTCCGCGCGCAAAATTCCGCCTAATGGAAACAAATCACGGTACACAATTAAGCAAAAAAACATTTTCTAGATATAGATTATAGTTAACTGTAAACGAAAGGTTGTTCAAGTAACAATAATAATCTTCTTGAACTACAAGATCTTCTCTACAATATTTGAGTTTTGTTTAGCCTAGTGACTTAATTATTCAAATACATCAAAAATTATCCCACCATGTAAACAGCCCTAAGACACCTGTTTACGAATCAGGAGATAGGAAAAGTGCAATCTGAATATCAAACACCTTGCCAGGGTTTTTTCAGGGATTTTTTAGGGCCGTTAAATGGCCCCAAAAACTCAATCTTGAATTGAGTTTGGAAATTCAATCTTCTCACCAAAGTTTCAGTGCAGTAAAAATGAAGTTGTTTGAGTTAAGTTTGTGGCGTGTGGAAATTAGTTTTCAGTTGGAAACCCGACGATTAAGATCATCTCACAACACAAGAAAAACTATGCATTCGCCATCTTTAACCAGTTTATGGTGTCCCTTAGTGCCCCTGCTTTAACACATTCCGTCTCAACTACGTTTATTGAGTACAAGTGTCAGCCCCCCGTAGGGGGGGGGGGGGTTGCAACCACACCAGCTGTTCGGCTAAACTCAATCTTCTCTGCAAAAACGTACCCAAGAGAAAATCCGGAAAAAACCCCGCTTGCACAAGGTCAAAGGTCAGCTAAATATTCTAATTCTACTTTCTTGGCATGGGCATTTTTATATGAATACCTTCAAAACAATAGATACTCCGAAAATTGAAAGCATTTTGAAAATTTAATTAGACGTTTCGACTAAACTATAGTCATCATCAGGAAATGAATGATGATGATATTACATATGTACAAGTATATATAGTGAAGTAACAAGATACGATTAGTTAAATATTAATAGATCTTTAGAGGCTTTAGTTCCATGGTTTAGGGATGGTTTCATTCTATTAATAGCAATAGACACTTGATAAAGTATCAACGACCAGTGATTGAATTTATCTAACACTAAAATAATAGATAAATCCAATCACTGGTCATTGATACTTTATCAAGAGTCTATTGCTATTAATACAATGAAACCGTCCCTAAACCATGGAACTAAAGCCTCTAAAGATCTATTAATATTTAACTAATCGTATCTTGTTACTTCACTATTTTTATTCTTGCACATATGTAATACCATCATCATTCATTTCCTGATGATGACTATAGTTTAGTCGAAACGTCGCAATAAATTTTCAAAATGCTTTCAATCTTCGGAGTATCTATTGTTTTGTATTTTATCAAAATACTCATTGGTTCCCGTAATACCTTCAACACTTATAACTTCTTGCTTTTGTATGTATAATTATAACACTGTCAGTGGTGATGCTAGCCAAAGTAAACAGGTCACGCTATGCAAGTTTTTAATGATTTGCATTATTCAAATAGATGGAGGTTTATTGTCGTGGCATGACCAGTTGCCATGGTAGCTAGCTTGCCACTGAATACTGTACAAAATCATATTTATATATAAACCATAATAATATTTGAATGAATCATTGGACATGCATGTAGAATTTAATAACAATTTCATATATAGAAATATTAGGCCCAGGTATTGTATTAATACAATAATGGCACCTTCAAGGCTATCCCCCTAATTAATATAATAAACCGTTTAATATAATAATAATATATTGCAAAACAACTGAAAAATCTGCTGATGTCTGATGGGGAGGCAAAATCTATTTGTTGACACTTTTGTTTCATATATGTCAGCTTCTGATAACACCATTCACTTGTAATGATTAAGATTGTACTCAGTCAGAACTGCAAAACTATATAATACAAGAAATTTTGAGCATTATCAAAAAACATAGTATACCCTGAGTACTATAGGAGGGCCCTGAAGGGGTAAAATGGGAACTGGGATTGATCTATTTTTAGACTGGGAAAATGGGATTTGGGTTGCTGGGACTGGGATTTGGCCACTGGGAATGGGAAACGAAGTCCTCAAAAATGGGAATGGGATTGAGGTAATGCCAGTCAATTCTCAATTTTTCTACGTTTTAAATATTTCAAAATACAATTTTGATCCGTTTTTGGTGTCTTTGGTCATGATTTTTGTTGTTAACTATATTATTCACAGCACTACCTGCGAACAGGCATACTCTGGCACCGGAATTCTGGGTTTTCTGATTATGCGTCTCTCAGAATGCTGCAAATGCCATTTCCGGGATTCAAATATTTCATAAAATGTCCGCCACTTGCACACACGGTGGCTTAAAAGGTCTTAAAACTGTTTATTCTACCGATAAATAAAGGGTTTTTATTGACTGGGATTTCAATAACTCGGACTGGGATTTCTAATAAAAATCCAACTGGGACTGGGATTTTGCCAAAATTTCAGGTGGGAAATGGGATTGGGACCCCCTCTTCAGGACCCTCCTATAGTGACACCGGCAAGGTGAATATATAAATGTAGGCTGGTAGGATTATCTCATATTATGCTATAAACAATAGACATATCTCAGAGATATATTTTTACAGACAGTCATACCTTTTACAAAAGTCGGTTGACATGTTAATAGATGTAACTGCTGGTACGTTGCTATGTGCAGACAACAATCCAAACTGAGTTGCTATAGGAATATATTTGTACTAGACAGATAATTTTTCCTTCGTGTACAATTGTGTCATTGTGTGTTCCAATAGTGGATTCACTCGTTTCAATGGGTAAAATAATTCGACCAAAACACATTGTTATTTGCGATAAAACTTTCATCTTACCTCGAAGAATATTTTCGATAAGCAGCCAGACATAAAATTTACAAAAGGCACGAGGCAACGTGTTATTTACAAATTGTAATACTGTAGTCCATGTTGGTGTTCGCGAGTCTCAGCCAGGGTATTCGGAATGTCAAATCGCGATCTGGAGTATGTTATTTAAATTCTGTGACGTCAAAATACGTCATAAATCTGAAAATCCGTACACCTCCAAAATCGAGTTGTCGTTCGGCTATACATAACTCGGCCGGAAACGGACTGGTGCGAGAAAAACAAATCGTCAAGAATAGTGTGCTGCCTTCGGCAGCAATAAAAAAAGCGACACCTTACTTGCTTACAACTACATTATTCGTTAATATCTAACTATCTATCTATCTATCTATCTATCTATCTATCTATCTATCTATCTATATATATATATAATGCATGCCGATATGAAACGTTGTTTTGTAATCAAATATTCTATTACACATTTTTCACTCAAACCAGTCTTATAGCCTATGGCTATGGTTATATTTATAAGTTATATTTATGTAGAAGTCATAACTCATAAAGGCATGTTTTCTCGTTATTAAAAGAATCCGCTTTATATACAATCAGTGACACATAGTCATATGATACATAAGTCATCAAGGCATATATGTTTCCTCAGTTTCCTCGTTCTTAAAAATATCCCGCTTTATACATTCAGTGACACATTCATAGTCATATGCATGATAGCCTACACATGCAGGGACGCCGGAACTGGGGGAGCAGGGTGGCGGCGGCTCTTCCCCTTGCCTTTTGCTAGGGGGGGGGGGCAGAAGTGCCCTTTTAGTTGTAAATACACTTTTGACTATATACCAGGCCTCAATAATATTTTTTTGGGCCTGCGAGCAGAATTTAAATATTGGAAATGTGCCTGCAAAAAGTTGTGTTTCTTTTCCGTAAGAGAGTAATTATTGCAGGTAAAATTACTGCGGTAAGTAATTACTGCAGTAGCCAGTAGTAATGACAATTTAGTTAACAACAACATTTTAGTCAACTGAAATAAGAATTCCTGAACAGTTTTACTGACTAAAAAGTCACAGTCCACAGACCTTGTATATTGCACGACTGTAAGTACGTCAGGTCATAAATGGTAAGTTTGGCTTTGCTGAGCTCATTCGGTCAACGACCTTCGATACAGCAAAATCCCTTATGTTCTGCGGTTTTCGAACAAAATGCCAGTCTCCGGTCTTTCGTTTCCCAGAATTCTTCCAGTATTCTGTCATACTTTCTTGGATGATGCTATCGGCATGTGGCAGTTCGGGTACATTGATAGCAATATTCATTTCGAGAACCGCCCTTTCCTCCGATATTGGCCGGAACTTGTTATTTCGGTTTTCATAAATAGGAACCCTTCGACTCTATCACCGATTCTACCGACATGCTGGCAGCGGCAACTCAAATAACATGCATTACCATTTCAATATCGACATACAACTTCCTTTCGGTCTCTAAGAAAACTTTAATTAACTTGATGCTGCATAGATCCTCTTCGTTGAGTTGCGCAACATCGAGTCTCCTGATAAACTCTCGAAACTGAATACGAATTTCGCTATCTGGCACATCATCAATATTAGTTGCCAATTGCTTCGAGACTTTGGTGAACTGTTCTCCATCCAAGGCTAAGACATGTGCAGCACTCTTCTGTTTAACCTTTAAAGCTAATGAACTTAGATCAATGATTGGTCTCAAGGTTTTTAGCATTGATTTGTCGCCTTCATGATACACCTTGTTGTGAAGACATTCATACATTCTTTGTACTAGCTTTTGTAAATCCTGTTGTGCCTTGACAATTATGACAATACCTTGTTGCTCATCTCGGGCATTTCTTGCAGCTCTTCTTTCTCCCATCCGTGTGTTGATTTCTTCACCATATGACTGTGCCATGGGAATGCCTCGATATGAACCAATTGTTTTGATTTCTTCTAAATCACGGTGGAGCGTTGGCCATTGACATTTAGAACCATAAGAGCTGATACATGTAGCATGGTCTAAAGATGCAGTCATCGAATTAAATTTACCGATCACAACTGAGTGAAATCGGTCAAATTTATCATGTGGCAGCATATCAACAGTCTGAAGGATGTTGACGCCATGACCAAAAACTTCATAGATATCACAAAGTCCAGAAAGTCTCACAGTAAACCGCGTGTTCAGTATCTTGTCTAAGAGATCACTTGCGTGGGTTGCCTTCTTCCTGTCGTCACTGTTTCCTTCCATGTTTTCAAGCTGAACTTCTTCCAAGGTGCGTATGATGGCAGGGAAATCTTCGCGGAAACTGACGTATACCTTTCTTGCATGGTTCGCAAACCTTGTCTCGGAAAATAATTCGGGTGTTTTGAAACTGATGTCAGCTTCTCCGCTCTCCTTCATTTCCTTGGCTACGGAAAAGAGGTGCTCGAATTCTTTACCATAATTCACAACCTTAAATACTTCTCCAATGATCTTCGTGGTGGAAACTAACCATTCAAATGTTGGATCTTTCCTTATATGGATGTCTTGTAGTCCAGCTTTGTGAAGCGGGTCCCAGTCATGGTGTTTCCTCTTGTTTCCCTCGAAACCAAAATAACAGTAATAATATGCACCGTCGAATGAACCGCCAAGGTACTGTGACCTATTTATGTCGTAGATTTTGACGCACTCTGTGATACTGTTGGTCACACCAACTCCAGTGTGCTGTTTAACAACAGGGTGGCCAAGAAAAAATGCGTGTAACAACTTAGGCGAGTCAGGCACGATTGTCGTAAATGTGACAAACTGACGTGTTCGATGCTTCCAAGTCGCCTTGTCAGCTCCAATCTTTCCAGAGATCGAAAACCCGTTTGTTCCAAAGGATTGTCTAGAAACCTAGTCAGCCTTCGGGTAACTTCGTTCGACATGATCGGGAGAATTTTCGCAGGAAACTTGTTTGAGTGGTTGATGTCCCCAATGTCTGAATCATTAACAGAGTGGAGATAAACTAGTAGATGCTCGAAATCAGAGTCTGGCCGTCCTTGCTTAAACATGTAGTAGCATATTCTACCAATTCTCTTGCCTACAACTCTTTCTCGGCGATCGCTTTTGTCCAATTCCTTTTCGTTCACTGTCCTTCTTTCCAGTGCTGTAATGTGGCTAGTAGATTTCAAGTGTGCCAGAAGATGTGTTTTTAAGTTTCGAAACTTCTTTCATAAAACTTTCTCAGGAGGTTCGATAGCACCGACAATGTTGTCATATTTGAATATTGCCAAATAGGTTTTATTAGTTGTAAGTTCAGGCAAATGTTGAGTAACTGGTACACATACAGAGCACAAGACTGCTTGCTTCCTTTCGTCGTAGCGGAATTCGTCGAACTTGCGTAGAAGATCATCTAGAGATCGGCAGCTATTCATAAAAAAGTTATCTGGCAGAACTGTTTCACGAGGTGAGGACATATATAATGCGGCACTATCATCGCCGCTATGATCCAGTGTCAGATTGGAATTACCACGCATCTCATCGAGTTTAAGTGACAGCTGATTATCCAGTTTCTCATTGATTTGTGACAATAAGTAAGGGGTTTGTGTGGCGTCAATCGCTATTGTGGCTTCAGACTCGAGGTTACTTTCTAGATCTGACGTTTTCTGGTCTTCAGAAACCTCTGGCGCCATAACTGTCATTGCCAACTCGGTGAACTCACCATGGGGATCACCAAGGTCATCACTAGATTCACCAACGTCATCAGTGCAAGTGGGCTCAATTGTTTCTTCAAAGGCTCTCTTTGCTTCGTTATTTTCTTCATCGTTTCGAGCCCTCTTTCTTCCAACTGGACCATCCACTCGATTGAAAAGGGATACAATCGAAGACTGGCATGCAGGACGCAAGTCATTTGGTTTTTCTTCTGGGTGCTGACGTTGTATGTGAACTCGATAGTTTTGAAGCAGAACCTCAGGTAGACACACTCTACATTTCACTTTATTTCGTTTTGCAAAACTCGCTCGATAATTACCAGATGGCATAACAAACTGCAAAGCGCGAACCACGGGAAACTAGGCCTTGGAATTGTTGGAAAATATTACGACGCTTTTCAAAAACAAACGTTTTGGAAATTTTAACGGTGAGAATTTCGAACGTGCTCGCTTGATGGTGTTTAAAAATATAGTAAATACAGCAAGCTAAGCAGGTTATAAATAAGTATTGTGTAAATGCATTTGCCACGCCTCTCATTCGTTTTAGCTCGCGTCACGTCAGGACACTCATGTTTTGAAATTTTTGACTGAGAGAAATTTTCTTTATAATATTGGTGTTTTAACGTAAAAATACAAAGTATATTAATTTTTTAATTTTAAAAAGCGATTCAATAGGATAAAACGAAAATATTAGAAAGTATATTGAAAGTATTATAGTCAAAGAAGATAGTTGAAAGAAACAAATATAATATCTACCAACGAAACAATAGTCAATACTTATTTAGGGACCGGTCATTATTTAAGGCGGGGGGTGGCACCGAAAAGAAATGTTTTTCGAGGCAAAAATTTTGCCGACCCAACCATTAAAAAGTAAAAAAAATTAATTACCCAACCTCAAATATCAATTAAAAAATAAATAGCCACCCCTGGCCAAAACATTTACAAAAGGTATCATTCAGTTGTCACATATGTCCTTTACCACTTCTGTGACATAAATTTGATAACAGATTTTATAATATAGCATTTGTAAATTCTGAATGCTGATTGGCTAAGAGCCGTGTTGATATAACTATGTGCTAAATTTTTTCGGGCGTCGTGTTTCCACACAATTAATTTCTCGTTTTCCCAATTTCCACTCGTGTTGATATAAAAGACCCATAGGTCCCATACTCGACTAGCAACATAATCAAGTTAGTTATATTAATTCATTAGATAGGATCAATGTTAAAGGCAAGGTGGGCTACAAGCAATAATCATTTGTATGGTTTATAGAAGGCTAATTGCTGTGAATAAATTGAATAATGAATGTAGCACAATATTAAATAGTTGCATGATGACGTCAAAGAGACAAGTCAGACTACATTTGCAAGTTTTGCAACTCTCATCGCTTAAATTCCCCATACCTGAATACAAAATAAACAGTAAACAACAATTACATTTTACATACCCTGCATAAAATGGAGTTTTCATCCTTTCTAGAAACTCACTTCCTGAACTTTTGAGTGCAAATGTAATGTACTAATGTATTAAAAATTTTAAATTGTATATCATATTTACAGCGGTTAATACCATTAATATATTGCGGGCACAATACAAAACATGAGAATTTTAAAATGTTAAGTTTTGATTTGCAAATAAATAAATAATATTTGATGTCATAAAAATTTTTTAATTTAACTCAACACAAACTGGTAAGTTCATGACATGTATAATTTACTTATATGTTTTATATTGCAATTATGTACCCTACTCCTTTGAAAATTGTTTGCAATTGCATATGATGTTGTCATGTATTATAGTTGTGTCATGAATTTAATAATACCTCAATGGCTTCGAAATAGACAATGGATGAAAAAAGTCATGAATATTTAGCTTATTTACCCTTTAAACACTTGATCGTCATGCGCATACAGTGTATTGTTTGTTACCAGAACCCCCTCAAGCAGACTTCAACTTTTCTTGTCAAATTGTATATTTTGCTTCATACACTGCACACATGTGTATTTGTGGGAACACTCATGTTTGGATGCTTGGGATAAGTTAATGGTAATTTCACTGGAGTCATCAGGGATATAGTTGTATATTCCTGAAATTACCTCTAAACCTATTAAAACAGCATTCCCTAAAATTTTAATTGTTTTCTTTCATATCGCTCAAACACACATTGCTTAAAAATAGCAGATTTTGCTTAAATCACATACCTAAAATTGCTTATCTCGTTATCGCCCCAGAGTAGTAGGGCCTACTGTTGCCATTGCTTTTTAGTCCCCAATGCTTCAGTGAGTCATGCTTTGGAAATGACAATATTTTTTTATTACCCAACCCTTGAGTTGTTTTGTTTTTCATTTACCCAACCTTTTACTTTCTCAAAATTTTGTTAATTACCCAACCCTTTTCTCTTCGGTGCCACCCCCCACCATAAATAATGACCGGTCCCTTATCAATATTTATTAGTCAATACTTATTATACATGTGATATTTATTCGCGAAAAAATATGATATCAACATTGACTTAATTGGGTAAACATAACGTTGACATAAGCGAACGTAACGTTGAGTAGAGGTCAACGTGACGTCGACTACTTGCAAACAACACAAAAATTCGGCGCGCGGCACGTTTAATTGCAAATGGCATGCAGTTGCATGCAGTAATATATACATCCCATTTTCGGACGTTGAGCGTGACCTTCCCGTCCTTCCGGCAAGGTTACACAATTTATTACTCACAGGTTCCTTTAAAAACAACTGTAGATGTTTCAAATTGAAAATATTGCCGTATTTTAAACGTTTGTTCCGCGTTATTACAACGACTTCGCTTGTTTTCGGGAAATTAACAACTTTTCTATTGCACTGCTAATTCGCTAAAAGATCAAGAAAAAATTTGTGCCTGCACAAATGGAAAATGTGCCTGCGAGCGGCGCTCGCGCACTTTATCGAGGCCTGACATTGATCAAGATGATGATGATCAAGATGATGATGATCAAGATAATGAAGATCGCGTAAAGCGTGAAACTCAGAGTAGCGACGCAAACATTCAAACCTTGACTGAATTAATTCCGCTCTACCTATTATGGTATTGAGCGCTCTTCTACCTTACGTCAACTCCACGACTATTCTCTTAAAAATAGTCTTCAGTATATATATATATATATATATATATATATATATATATATATATATATATATATATATATATATATATTTAACAATTATTCGCCGAAGGCGAGGTGATTATTATCGGTGAATAAAAACCGAGACGAAGTCGAGGTTTTTATTCACGATAATCACCGAGCCTGAGGTGAATAATTGTTTTAGTATAATTTCATAGGTGATTATTTGGAAAAAAAAATAAAAATGCACATTTCTTCGTCATTTAATTGACAAAACGGCTTCGGCCGCCATTTTGAAAATCGCTTGGGTGATTATCGCGTAATAATCACCTCAACGGCAACCAATCAGCGTGGAGAATTTTCAACAATCACCTATATATATATAGTACAATCTATATATATATATATATATATATATATATTCTATATATATATATATATATATATATATATATATATATATATATCTTTCATATATATATATATATATATATATATATATATATATATATATATATATATATATATATATATATATATATATATATATATATATATATATATATATATTTTTTGTTAGGACCAAAAGACGGTAATAGTTAGATAAAGTGTTAAGTTAAATTAATAAACATGTAAATGTTATTTGGATTTTATTTAAGATCTGTTGTCCTTTTCCTTCAATCATTTGTTAATATTATAGCCTATGTTATTGATTGTAAAGTTAATAATGTAAAAAAACCTATGATTTGTCTCTTGAAAATTGCTCAGTCAACATGTATATAGCCTTGAGCAACCTTAAATATTACCTATTTTATTGCTGCGCGTTTGCAATGCATGAAGGAGTGGAGGATGTTTAATTCATTCCACACTGTAAATTTCAGGGTGTTGAATCAACTCCAAAAGTGTTATTCTGCCACCAAAAATGGTGACAGGATAAATTACAGTTAAAATTTACAGTGCAGCAATAAAAAGTCCTGCTTATTATCACGCGCAGCTATACTCGTATGATGCAAAGTATAGAATGCGCCCATGCAAGTAATTCAATTCACAACAATAAAATTCGCTTTCTATGAATATTTTTCAAGCCGAAGGAGAAGCGTTTGCAAAACCTAACGTCACCAAGATCCCAAACACACAAATATCGACATATGGGAGTTCACTCACTCTGGTGTGTGAGGTATATGGTCAGTACAGCATAAGATGGTACAAAGTTGGATTAGATGAAGATTTAATGACCGATGAAGAAATAGTATCTAAGAAAAATGTTAATAGTCTTACCTTTGTAATTCCAAGAGCGACCGAAAAGGATGATGGGATATATGTGTGTGAGATACAGCGTTTCATTGTAAAATACATCGCCAACAATACAATTGTTGTGAAGTCACAAGGTACAGTAAAGATATGATTGTATGTTTGTCGAATGTGGAATTAAAAACAGAAACGCCGAGTAATAGGGATGCATTTTGCATCATAGCGCTCATGTAAGGAAGCAAAAAAACTTTAAAAATCTTATGTTTTGTCATATGTGTTGAAGGTTACCAAAAATTGACACAGATGCACATGCAATTTTTAATCCAGTCGTCCCTCGGCAATCTGACATCCGTGTTGACAAAAATGGTCTCACTTTAAACTATACGCACTGTATATGTAGCCTTTCAATTGGGAAAGATCGAGGAAAAGGAAAAGCGCGAGGGAGGGCGGGAAATGTTTACAGCAACTGAATCATGCTTCTAAGATCCTCAACTATTTGTACTCTTGGCTAACGTTGGTCCTTGTTCTATATATAGGACTCAGCTTTTGAATCTGTTTTAGAAGGTGAGGAGCCTTCATTTTCTGAATTTAATGCATCATCTGAGATCAGATTGAAGGAGAATGACCATGTTTCTGTCAGCTACTCTGTATCTGGAATTCCTAGCCCAAATATAACCTGGTTTATAACAAAGAACGGTTTGCCTTCCAAGCAAATCGCGCTATGTCCATCCAATGTGAGCCATTGCAAGCTGAGCAGCTGGAGGAACGAAGAGACTACCAAAAAGTTATTTCGTGTTTTGAAAGTCGAATACCCAGCCGACGATGACATAACGTACACCTCCCAGGCTACCAATGATCTGGGAAAGGCGAACAAATCCTTTACGATAAGAGTCTACAGTGAGTGTTAATTAAATTAATTTGTACTTTAGTTTGTCAGTTGCATGCATCAGCTTTCTATATACACTATTGCAGCTGCATATCATAGGATAAATTATAGTACTTGACTTCCTCAGTATTGCTCCAGTAACTTCATTTTGGTACTTAATATACTACTTATATACCTAATATACGTTTAGAATTCTATGTGGTTAATACAGACTATAGAGATTCAATTCAAGAAAGTTCGGAAGGTGCGAAATATTAATAACATTGCAATGGTCGGGTCCCGACCATTGGAATCTAGGCCTGCGCAGAACGTATGCGCAGAACGGACTTTTCAGATCTTTAATTATCTATTATATTGTATTTATTAGTTGTAGCGGAAAAGTCCTTTTAAGGTGCTATAATAAAGTATCTATGTCCGGCTATGTCTTAATTTACAAGCATAGCGAACCAGAAGAGTGTTAAACATTCAGTATAATATATATCTCAGTAATCATATTTAACAACTGTAGCACTGAGTTCAAAATGCAAACAAAGCGTTTGTTTACATTACGGACTTTACAGCATCTTTAAAAACAATTAACGCAATGCATGAGTTCTTTCTAAGTTCATTAATTCGACGTCTTTTCTTAAAAAATCACGTTCTCAATTTCACGTCCCCGTCTTTATACAGTGACGTTTTGTGGCCTTATTATCCTTGGCGACTTTCAAGTTAAACGTGTCGAGACTAAGACCGTGTTATAATCTGAAACAACTCGTAAACTTCCCCACACGTGGGAATAATACGCTCGATATAGTCCTAACAAACCTTAGCACTTACTACGACAAACCTACCAAATGTGCCCCGTTCGGGTTATCCGATCACGTGACCATTGAGATTAGACCAATTAAACGATCAAAAGTTCAAGGAACATCAACAGCATCAGTAAAGGTGAGAGACTTGAGACCTAGTTCCCGCCTTGCTGTAAGGAAATATATAGAGATGGTAGACATTCCCACCTTGCTTAACACAGGCCACTCTTGTGAAGAAAAAACATCTTTATTCCAAACAATAATTAATAATGGGTTGGATTCAATTATTCCGCTACGTAATAAAACTGTTAGATTAAATGAACCTCCATGGATGAACACAACTTTGAAAGGTCTTATAAGGAAACGACAAAAAGCCCTTAATCAGAAAAGAACTACAGAATTTAAAAGTCTGAGGAATCAAATCAACCGCCAAAGAAAAAAATGTCGGGCAAAATATTACGAAAATAGCGTTCACCATTTAAAACAATGTAAACCATCAGCATGGTGGAAAGAGGTTAAAAAGCTTAGTGGAATGAATGTAATCGGGGGAACCTCAGATGAAATTGTGAAAGCTCTGAGACCAGGAGATGACCCTTCTAGCTCTGATAAAAGAGATTTAGCCAACGAGATTAATAATGCCTTTTTGGCTCCTATGGCTAGATATGTGCCGTTATCCTCAGTACCTCGTCAACATCTCATCCAACCTGCACAAAGTGATACAGTAATTACTGTAACATCGAATGCTGTTTTCCAAAACCTTCTCAAACTTAATCCCAAAAAAGCTCATGGTCCGGATGGCATACCGTCGTGGCTCCTAAAAGAAAACGCAGATCTATTAGCTGGTCCGATAGCGGCCATCTTGAACTGTTCATATCGGGAATGTACCCTACCGCCAGTTTGGAAGAAGGCGGACGTAGTTCCAATACCGAAAGAAAAGCCCATCCAGGATATCAATCGTCAGTTACGCCCTATTTCACTTACACCTATTCTATCGAAACTCGCAGAAGAATTTGTTGTAATGATTTATGTGAAGCCAGCAGTGATGGAATTGGTCGATAGTAAACAATTTGGGACGGTGCCGGATAGTTGTACGACATATGCTCTTATAAGCATGCTACACACTTGGAATAAGGATACGGATGGTAACGGTTCAACCGTCGAGTTATGACGTTTGACTTCCGTAAAGCATTTGATTTAATAGACCACAATATTTTATCGGAGAAGTTAACAAAGTATAACATACCGAGGTCTGTCATGCTTTGGATCTTAGACTTTCTGACTGACCGAGAACACAGGGTAAAACTCAGCCAAGATTGCCATTCCGAATGGGGCAAGGTCCCAGCCGGCGTCCCCCAAGGCACAAAGCTCGGCCCATGGTTATTTTGTATTATGATTAATGATCTAAGCGTTAAGGACGTTAATGATTTATGGAAATATGTTGACGACTCATCCTTGTCGGAATCAGTTTGTAGAGATGGTCCAAGTAACTTACAAAAGTACGTAGATGAATTTAACCAGAAATCAACAGCTAACGGTTTTCAGATAAACGAATCAAAATGCAAAGAGTTGTGTATAAGCTTTGCACCAAGCATACGTGAGTTCCAGCCAATTACTATTAATGGGAAAATTGTCGAACGTGTAACATCGGTAAAATTGCTGGGTCTAACCATCTCAAATAACTTGAAGTGGAATAGTCATATTTCACACGTTTGTAAAAAGGTCGCACCTCGTCTATATTTTTTAAGACAACTAAAACGAGCGAAATTACCAGCTAACGACCTAATCATTTTCTACTCCACCTGTATTCGACCAGTCATCGAGTATGCGTGCCAAGCATTTCACGACTCATTACCCAAATACCTGTCTGATGATCTTGAAAGACTTCAGAAACGAGCTTTTCGAATAATATTCCCAGATCAACACTACAAACAAGCATTGAGGAACACGAACACCCCATCACTGTACGATAGAAGACAGGAATTAACAACAAAACTTTTTAAGGACGTAGTCAATAATCCTGAGCACAAATTAACGGATTTGTTACCGCCATTAAATAATGACAATAGTCATTTTTTGCGTAAAAATAGGAAATTTAACGTGCCACTTCATAAAACGAACAGATTTAGGAACAGTTTTATCACTTATAACTCTAATAAGTTTTTTGAATAACTTAGAAACTGTTTTTTACCGCGAATATGCTGGTTTTTAACCTAATCTAAATTAGCATTAGTGAGTGTTTTAGTAACAAATTATAAGTCTGCGCATACAGTATATATCTGTGAATGTGTATTTTTAAGTATTTAGTCTAATCTTATTCGTTTTCTTAAACAAATACATGTAAAATTAGTTTTAATATCCTTGTAAACCTAACATATTTCAGCAGTGGAATTAGTTATATTCTGGAGCTGTAAGTTTTAGCTAGTGTCAAATAAACTATCAAACTAATAACGAATAACGTAATAATAATACTATTATATTAAGTACCGTTTATTATAATTGCCTGTATTAAATTACATATCGAGGACATTGGAAATATTAGAACGTGAGAACACGCACAAAAGCAAACTTTTAAAATTTTCAGTTTCCTCTCATGCTAACGACTTACTAAGAATAGGCATATAAACAAGTGACCTTAACTCACAAACATTATTTCCATTTTTCTAGTAAAACCACAACTTGCAGTAGTAAAACAGCGTAACCACATATACCGAAAAGGAATGCAACTAAATTGCTCTGTGGAGAAAGTTAATCCAAAAATGACCAGTTTTACCTGGGAATATTGTGATCCAAAACTGTCAACATGTGATCCTAAAAATGATTCAAAGTGGGAACAAATCCATTCTGATTATTTGACTACCAAGGTGGTAAACTTAACCTTATCGCTTCTGCTTGAAGATCAACCTCAGGATAAAGTAGTTTATCGTTGCAAGGCCGAAAACGTCTGGGGAGCTGATCAAATTTCTTACAAAGTATATAAAGTGCGAGGTATTTTATTTAAATCATGTACTACTTTTCTTTCCATGTTCATTCGTGTGTGCTGTCAACAATATATTTTGGCGGTTCAGTTTTCTAAATGATCTTTTATTTTCTTGAAATGCTATTAAAAACGATAGGTTCTATATATATTAACTTAATTCGTCAAATATCGTGACCTTGTGCGGTTGTTCATTTTATGTGCACAAAGGGCAGAATACATCATTATGCATGCAGTTGTCAAAACTTGCTTGTGTCATAAAGTACAGTTAATAAAATCGATCCCTCATATTAAACTTCCGACTCTTAATTAAATAGCATGCACGATATAAATCCCGCAAAACTAATTTTTAATTTGAACAATTTTCAGAATTGTCTGACCACCTTACAAAAGACAGTTCTTTGATCTTTATGAGTACTGTTATCCCTGTTGGAATATTTTCTTTCTCAATCATTTTCGTTATCGCATTTGTATCGTGCAAGAGGATTAAAGTTTATGGTGGTCTATACATATTCTCACATCCCCCAATGCCAGACTACATTGATCAACTTGATTACAATAAAGACGTTCGCGAACAGATTCGAAAATTGCCTTATGTTCCAGAATGGGAGTTTCCTAGAGAAAGAGTTTTACTGCGTAAGTGTCTTTCCCCCATTTTCTAATTTTATCTATAAGTTTGTATATTAACTCAAGATTTTTTCAATTCACCTATAAAGATCTCATAACAAATTAACAATTAAACTATTTAAGTAAACGTATGAAGACTAAAAAAAATACATATTATTCACGTCATTTCAACATTTATAATGATCGAATACATGCAATTAAGTAGGTTATAATTATTATCGCTGTGCATGTTACTAAATCGCATGTGCAATAAAACAATAAGAACATAGAACGAGTAAGAATTTCCAAATAGATTATATATGCATACATTCCTTATCTTAAACGATTAGTGTCACACCATGGACGTAGCCTATACTGCAGGCTTTTGTTAGGCCAATGAAAATTGATATCATGTTTCTCGTCCCCGCCCGCATGGGATTTATCTGCCGCACCAAAATTTTTCATTATTCATTATTTTTGAAAAATAGGCTTAACAAAACACCAATTGAAATTGATCTCCAGATCAAAGTCTTATTCACTTATTGCTGCATTCCGCAAGCGCAACTCAAATTGTATCTTTTTAAAGCTATTACTCGCCATATTGGCCATAATGCCTCTATTTTTCATGTCAGCCCTGGTATGTATAGAAATATACTGTAGTGTAGGACGTATTAAATTAAAATGAATTATACACCGATTGACTTCAGATTGTTATGGGTTGTTTTACTGGATCAAGGAAACTATTGACAAGCAGAATTCAAATAAAAAAATAATGAAAAATGAAAAAATTCCGCTCCAAATTTTTGAAAATTGTGGACGAGAAACATGATATCAATTTTCATTGGCCTTATTGTTTTTATTTTACAGAGCTAAAATCAACAAGTACGTAATGTTACCTTGTTCGGACCATTTCCAGGAAGAATAAATTACCAAAACAATTCCTGTTTTATTACAATCTCGTTCCCAGAGCATGCCCTTCGCAGGTTAGGGTTGGGCATAGCTCTGGAGAAATCGAATTGATTCACGTTGCATTTCCAACGTGAGTTGTGTACGCATGCTCAGCAATTGTTGAAAAATATAAACAAAATATTTAGAATTTCTCGTCGGAAATTTTATACTTTTTACACTGAAATCATTTGAAAACAACTGAAAATTATAGGGTAAATATGTACCAAAGTTTCGGATTGATAGGGATATAAATACCTGAAAAATACAAGGAGAGCAAAGGCCCTTCTTCGACTTGTACTGTACTTGTTAACTTAACCTTTTCTGTCGGTATTCATGCATGCAGATCGCCGGATAAATATAATACTCTCAAGAAAGAGAGAATGTTTGCTGGGAAGTGTGGACCTGCTGTTGATTTCTTTAAAACTGGACAAAAGGTTTAAATTTTAAATTTCCTCGACATTGGATTATTGACGTCGCTTTCATATATATATATATATATATATATATATATATATATATATATATATATATATATATATATATATATATATATATATATATATATATATATATATATATATATATTTAAAAAACTCATTAATAATTCAGGAGCAAAGCACAAAGAAAAATCATAAGCGTATCGTGGTTTTATATGTGATAAAAAATCACGTTAATTTACATAAACTTTAGCTTTGATTTTCTCGGTTTAGACAAAGTTTATTTTAAAAATTTCTTCGCCAATGAACTCGTATAAGATGAGTCGTTTTTTAAGCTATTTAAAGCACTTGTTGTCGTGTTTTATCACATATAAAACACTCCGCTACGCGTCGTGTTTTATAATGTGATAAAACACTCCTACGCGTGCTTTAAATAGTACATATATATATATATATATATATATTTATATATATATTTATATATATATATATATATATATATATATATATATATATATATATATTATATAGATTTTATACATATGAATGTTGTGGTCTCCAGCTGCATGGTATTTGAGCCCGCAATACTATGACGTGACACTAAACCTTTAATTCTTTTAATATTTATTGTATCTTTGTTTCATTTTTACAGATTCTGAACTTGGAAAAGGAGAATTTGGTAGTGTATGGCTTGCTCATGCCAGCGGAATCGCGGAATTTCGCCCACGAGATATTTTAAAGCAGAAATTTATCCGTACCCGTTTATCAGTTTTGATTCGCACGTTGAGAAGTCGAAATAACAACTACGTTGGGGGAAAGGAAGTCACCGCAGTTGCTGTAAAGAAACTAAAAGGTTAGTCTTGCACTAGCTTAAAAGGAGAAAAAAAGGAAAAATTAACACAAGGGTTAGGGGCATGGGAAGCTTGATAAACTTATGGGGGAAAATTTTGGAGTCTCTATATAGATCGTTGGAAATGGCATTCTCATGCAGAGCCTTCTCTACCTCTTTTGTTAGGCACGTTCATTTTGCCATTTCTAAATTCAACGAAAAGACTCCAACGAGTTGCATTGTGGGCAGGCCATCATTCCTGTTCTGGTGTAATAGTTATTAGAGGATTTTTTTTTATTTAGTTTATTTAGCTTCGCCTTGAAAAAAACGTACATAATACAAGTATACAATAATTCATATACATGAGACAGAACAAGAGGCAGGGACACCACAACATTTTACACCAATTACTGCGGGCCACTGGGCCCTTTAGTTAGAGGTCCCTTTTTGCCAATGCTTCCCCCCTCCTCCCTCTACTCGAAAATCCTTAAAAAATGCCCTGTGTGACCTAGCTTGGCGGCCCTTTGAAAGGCCATGGCAGGTCACCTATCATTGGACATTATTACATGATGTCCTAAACTACAAGTCTACAACCTTTGAAATGGAACACTCAGAGGAGGAATGAGGGTCTTCCCACAATACACTGCGGTTCATTATTTTCAAAATTGAAATTCGCGACCACGGATTGTGAAAAATTGTGGATGGTTATCTTGATTATTTCTCTGAAAATTTTCTATTTTCAAAGCTTAGATTTCAGTAAATATATTAATTGTATATCGAATTTTTTATTTTTATTTTTTAAAATTTCTATATTGCGTTTTAGTGATGCTAATCGCGTATTGTATTAACCCTTTTTACGGGTCAGAGTACAAATCACGAAAGTGGCTTTGATATTATGCAGAAGCTATATCACTTTTTTTCGTGAAAAGTCAAAATAAATCACAGCATCGAATTCAGGAAGAGTTGTTCTATCTTATGATACTTTAAAACCAAAAGTAGCTCGCCAAACTGACGGAGTAATCGCGATTTGAAAGTGAGGTAATTTTTACTGTGTTCTGAAATATTGTTGATTTTCATTTCGTCTTTCTCTCTGAAAAATTTATTTTTTCGAAGGTAACTTTTTATAAATGTATTAATCGTGTATCGAATTTAATTATTCTTATTTTTAAAATATTTTTGTATCGTGTTTTAGTCACCTCAATGGCCGATTGTATTTGGCCTTTTTTTTAATCAGAGCTTAAATCACGAAAGTGACTTTGATCTTATGCCGGAGCTATATTAATTTTTTTTGTGAGAAGTCAAAATAAATCACAGTATCGAATTCAGGAAGAGTTGTTCTATCTTTTGATGCTTTAAAACCAGAAATAGCTCGCCAATCCGACGGGCAACCGCGATTTCAAAATGGGGCAATTTACTATACTCAGTTGTGGGTGGCGGGAATTCAAAACTGATATGGCGCGAAGTCTATTTCATTATTTATAAATATATACTTTGAATTCATACATTCATGATAGACTTTGTTGCGATAAACTGTGAGTCATGAAAGCCCCCCAAAAATGTATGTTGTGTAGTCTTCGAATTCAAGTGTTTGGCAGGAAAATGTTAGACTTTTTCTTGCTCTATTTAATTTTGGACAAGTGCATATTGAAACATACATGCAGATTTAATTACATTGCAGTAAAAGAACCATTTTCCTTTCAATCTCCCTAAATATGTTTTCCTTGCATATGATCAGAAGCATATCAGTGACCTTTATTGAAACCTTTTAACATTTTATATTGTATTTTTGAAGTAGCTAAGTACAGTAAATAATTTCTAACACAACTCTATGCAACCTCGTACCCAGGATCTTTCTTTGGGAAAGACCCTGGCTGCGGCTGGTCACGTGCTTCATCAAAAATTTAGCGCCTGAGGGGGTGTGGGGAAAGTATCAAATTACATCAACATGCTTCTAGTGGGATATTCGTTAAAAACATAGATTTTGCGAATTATTACGTTCAAAATACTTGCTAATTTTTGTTTATTTTCTTTGCTTTGAATTTACAAGAACATTGTTACATTCTTACTTACAGTCAAGCCAAGAAACCAAGCGAATCGTTACTCGCAGTGCTCTCTCGTGTTGTTATTCAATGCATGCTCTCTTCACACTCGAGCGCGGTTATAACAAACGTTTGTTGTAATGTTTTTAAAATAGGCCATTACATTTGTCCTTTCTTGTAAACGTTGATACGCTTTGCACCGATTCACTTGTTACTACGCGTCTTGTTTATAAGATTTTTAAAAGAAACAGTATTGTCTAGGAGATTAGGACTGCCCAAATATTAGCAAATGTAAACATTTGATAATAGCCGAACAGAGAAATGTCCATAAGCATAGAGGAAATTTCAGTCATTGATTTATCTGGATTTACTACATAAATTCGTATTCGGTAATTATAGTAAGACTTTAGCCTTTTTCTTGGTCTCTATTAATCATTATATTGTGCTAATATACTATAATCTAGACCAGACCGTCATTTGGCGTCATACGAATAGACATAAATTTTCGAGTTTTCTACTTCTACTAACATTTTTAAAGTTTTCATTGTGAATCACCTGTTTATCTCTAACTCATTAATCATTTGCTACTTATATTTATTTGATAGTGTCAATGTCATATAGTGAATAATGCGTTTACACACAAGCAATCCTGGATATGATATAGACGATGCAAGCTGTCCATTAAAAAATAACGGTATTCTATTTCACAAAGCAAAAATTTAAATCTCACTTGTATATATTAAGAATGCATATAAAGCAAAAAATTAAAGCTTATTCATGTCAAAACGAAAGCTGTTTACAAAATTTATAAAGGTGGTGAACACTACTACACTACTAAACAGTGCTCATTGAAAGACATGTATAATACAGTGACATATAATTTGCCGTTTGACTTATCTTTGGTGTATGATTTTAATACCGTAGATTTTCAACAGACAGCTATACTTTGACATATACCATGATCGTTGGATTCAGCAATGCCAAGGGCCAATTTTATAGTCTTTTGACGGGCTTTAAGTTTTTTGATAAGGCCTTTATATAGATCAACAATCTGGATACAGTTGGCGATATTTCGGAAATCAAAAGATCTCGCTATTTCGTTGCAATTCCACATCTCATCAATAAATAAATTCTTTTGGTCCGAGTATCAGGATAAACTTTAATACTAAATAAATAACAACCACACTGTTCGGTCTAGAGATATATATTTTCTTGTAGGTTTAATCACAGTTTAATATTGCCACGCTGCACAAGCGGCAAGCGTGCTTTCTTTGGCAAGTCTATAATGAAATCTGATCCAACTTGCTTGAATTGTAACTCGACACCAGATTATAGAGTAGAACGTCACGACATAAATATAATTCAAGAGTTCTCTTTATAATTACGATTTCTTGTTGCAAATTTACAGTAAATTTCATCACCCAAAGTTGCAATTTTAAAACGCTACAAACACTCTCCTTTCCCACCCCTCTCACAGTTACAATTAAATTTACCTCCCAGAATCTGGGAGGCACGTGACCAGCCGCAGCCAGGGTCTCTCCCAGATGACAGACGGAGAGACCCTGGGAACGAGGTTGAACTCTATGACCATTTATTTGAAAGATTAGAATAAAAAAATGCAAAAATTGTTTTACTTACACTTCAACATAGCATGCTTCTTGAGCACAATTTTATTTAATAATACAGACACAACAAGTTCTGCTGTAAATGTATTTATAAATATTTGTAAAGATGAACAGAATAACAACTGCAGTAAATGAAGATGGATGTTGTGGATGTAAATATACTACCTGACAAGTATACTGAGGTTTCTAGCAAATGGTCCTTCATTTAGATCTACCGACTACAAAGGAACTAACCTCCAGACAGAGGGCCTCTGCTTGAAATATCATGATTCGATCATTCTATATATTTTCAGGTAGTTACATCCAAAAATACATCTTACTTACTATTGAACACAGCTAACATCGTACTATAATTGAGATTGGTTATTTCAATTATTTCATAAAATTACAACACATTTCAAAAAAATCATCTGTTTTATATTGCACAACCTGTGCACAGTCAGATATGCATGCAATTTATTGTCTTCTTTATCAAGCACGATTATAACAGTTCCATTAATTGATGGGGGGGGCGACCAGTGATGCATATTGAATATTCAATGCTGATCATGAACAACCTCCACCAAGCAAACGGGATACAATGGTTGTTGGAAGCAATGACAATCAGTAGGCTGGTGTAAACTTAGTGTCACATGATAGGTGGTACGTGGCATTAAAATAGACTCCTCCTGACCAACATATTACAACATGGTACATCTCCAAGCTGATGCCAGTGATCATTGGTGTCGACAAACTATATGATATAAATTTGAAATATTTAATTTAAACAAATAATGACTACAATAATGACTACAATAATGACTACTAAAATACTACAGTTGCCATTGAATAACAACAGTTAATCAAGAGTTTATAAAATTTTGAGTAAAATCTATTTGCAATTAGATTTTTTTAATGTTTCTTAATGTCAAAAACTGAATTTATTATAAATTTGGTACAACATTTGCAATAATTTTGTATGTAATTTACTGAAACACTATTTGAGTCATTTTATAAATAAATATATTGTCAAACTTAAATTATTTTGATCTTTTTATTCTAAATTTGTGTGCATAGCTCTACTGTACGATACATATATATAAGTATAAATCAATATTGATCTTTATTACCCTTTTGATTACTATATAAACTGCAGAAATATTATAATTTAATTATTTAAATCATCTTACCTTAAACCTTTTAATAACAACACAAGTTTAGTCACTGTCAAGAAATCATTTCGACAAGTAAAGCACAAGGCATTCAAACTACACGTACCCGCGATGATCCCGAAACGTTGTTTCGAAAAACAACGAACAACATTTATACAACAAAAAGTCGTTTCCATCCCAAACCAAAGGTATATTCCGTGATACAGACG